TCATATGTTCTTCAAATATTTATTTTCTGATTGATTGTTTGGGATGTGAAACTTTCAATTGAGTCAATTTATGAATCAAAATCCGAATAGGTGAATAAAGCATATGGAGGATTCTCAATGCCTTACCACTTTTTTATTATTGAGTTTTCTCCATTTTAAATTGTTCAAAAAAAACATCAAAAACACTCATTTCTTTTCTTTGTTGCATTGCTTACTTTCCTAACGCTTTTTATTTGCTAGTCATTTCTTGTTCAATTTAACACCTCCTCGTAGGATCGACCGTTCAAATTGTACTATAATTGACCGCTTGTTTTTGTACACGTTTGGGCGTAATCAGTAATCTTTACAAATCCCGCAACAAACCTCCGGTAATACCCTGCCAACTCAAGAAAACTACAAATCTCTTAGGCATTACTTGGTCTGGGCCACTTTGTCACTACCTCAATCTTATTAGGATCCACTAGAATTCCATCGTTTGAGACCACCTGCCAGAGAAATGCTACCCATTCCAACCAAAACTCACACTTCTTAAACTTGGCGTACAATTGTTTTTCCTTAAGAGTTCTTAGTACTATTCTTAGATGCTCAGCATGCTCCTCCCTTGAATGAGAGTAGATAAGGATGTCGTCAATGAAAACGATCACAAAGTTATCTAAGAAATACTTAAATACTCTATTTATCATATCCATAAACACTACTGAAGCATTGGTCAATCCAAATGCCATAACTAAGAACTCATAATGCCTATATCTCGTATGGAAGGCAGTCTTTGGTACATCATCATCCTTTATCCTCAACTGGTGATATACAAATCATAAATCTATCTTGAAAAATACTGTGGCTCCCTGTAATTGCTCAAACAAAAAATCAATCTGAGGCAAAGGGTACTAATTTTTTACTGCCACCTTATTCAGCTCCATGTAATCCATACACAGCCTCATTGTCCCATCTTTCTTCTTCAAAAATAAGACTGGAGCACCCCAGGGAGAAAAACTCTGTCTAATGAATCCTTTGTCCACTAATTCCTGTAACTGAACCTTCAATTCTTTCAACTCGAATGGTGCCAATCTGTATGGTGTCTTAGAAATAGGAGTTGTACCAGGTACTAACTTAATCTCAAAGTCAAGCTCTCTTCTCAGTGGTAACCCTGCTAAACCTTCCGGAAACACCTCTGTGAACTCATTGACTACCAAAACATATTTTACCTTAACTTTTTGCTCTACTAGAGTATCAACTGTTGGTTTCTGAATTGAATTCGGATGCAGAAGCGTGACGGTAGCGGATCGTGTATATCAAAAATTTTCATAAAACCTTTGATATACTCTATAGCAGCAACCACCAAGTCTCAAAAATTTTGGATCCTTAGAGCCACTAAGGGTCTCCTTATAGAAGTCTTGAGACATTTCTCAAATTTCAGGCATTTCAAATGCTCAAACTCCACAAGGGATGGCGCAAAGCAGGACAAGTCATTGAATTTTGCCTCATACTCCCTCACCGACATATCACCTTGAAGCAAGGACATAAACTCCATTGCCTTTTCATCGCTATAGCTCTGAGCGAAGTATTGCTCATTAAAAATGGTCTCGAACTGTTCCCAGGTCATTCTCGCAACATCAAGCCTTCTTCTCACTTGCTTCCACCAAGTACTTGCTTGACCTTCCATCTTATACACCGTGAATTCCACTCAATACTCTTCTGGTATTCCCATGGTGTTCAGGTGCTTCCCGATGGAATCAAACCAGTACTCCGTTTCCTGAGGTCCTCCCTCACTATTAAACGTGGGGATTGGTGCACGTCTAAATTTCCGAAAATAACCCTGCTTCCTATCCTCGGCCGGTCACTCATTCTGAGCTCAAGTGGCCATTCCTTGGAAAGCAGCATACATGGCATCCATGAATTCTTGATTCTGTGGTACCGGGTTGTTAACTGACCTACGACGCAGTGACATCTCCTTTAACTAAAAAGAAACTAGACTGTTTAGTAGATTCCTGATGTCACACATGTATGTACAATCCTGTGGATTCTTAACCTAAGTCTCTGATACTACTCTGTCACGCCCCGGGGGCAAAGATCGGTGACATGGAGCTCGATTAGGGGTTAAACGCGTGATAATAAAGGAACTTCCCAACGAGCCCCACACTTAATTAAAATAAATTGCAAGGGAAAGACTAAAAACTCAAGCCTCTCACACTGTACTAAACTCAGGATTTGTCCACATGATCTCATTACCGTACATACATGACATGTAAATAGAACATTACAGACATCATCCACAGTCTAGGAATCCAAATATCAGAGTTTACAAATTCTTACATATATCCAAGAGGATGAACACAATACCCACTTGATCGAACGGTAGCAAATAATTCAGCCACTCCGCACCGCTCCTAGAGTCGCCTGGGAGGGGTTTAATATACACACATATATATATATATATATAATAATAATAAAACGTGAGCGAAAGGCCCAGTAGGATATAATTTCAAATAACTTTATAAATAAATGAGCGAGTAAATAAATAAATGGATAAGAAAATAAAATAAGTCATTCAGTTCCAACACAACAGCTAGAACTTAACATCCTTTTTCTCAAAGGAAATATAACTGAAAATCTCCGTATTACAGGCATCAACAAGTAATTTATTCTAGGATAAATTACTTACACAACCACATGCACAAGCCATATTACCCCCGGGCCAAGTTTCGGGTTGTGCCCCCAAGGATGCACTCTCCACATCCTATCTTGGCCATCAGTTGGTTTACCGATTCGCAAGATCTCTTATCTTAATAAATCATTCATTAAACTTTATGAAATCGTTTATTATAATCTCATAAACAAAAAAAACCCATGAGCCCCATGAACTACAACAAGCCATGAGTCCCATGAACTACATCAAGCCATGGTCCCATGTACTACAACAAGTCATGAGTCCCATGAACTACATCAAGCCATGGTCCCATGTACTACAACAAGCCATAGGTACCATGAACTACACAAGCCATGGGTTTTAAATACTTTTCTTTCGCAAACAAGCCCTTTTTCTTTAAAACATTTGTAAGGCCAAAACTCTTTTTGGAAATCAGGCTCACAAGGAAAAAGGGAAGAAATCCTACCTCGTAAATATCAAACCTGTGGCTAGCGGTGCACTATTCCGGCTTCCGCTTGCTCAAGCTACTCAATCCGAGTCCTAAGCTAACACTGATACAAGACAATACTTTAGGATTCAATTCTCATTCCTAAAGTAATTCAATCTCAATTATATACCAAGATTTCATATTAGTGTGCCCTAATCAATTTCATGTTTCAAATCACCATTCCAAGGGTAATTAATCTCAAAACATGGATTAAAGATGCTCATCCATCTACTCTAGGTCCCCAAATGAAGCTAATTTGGGTCCTCCTCGAAAACAGATGTCAAAACAGCACTTTCAGGCCAAACAGGGTCAAACCCCGTGTACACCGATCGACCGGTGACAGAGCAGTGCAACACCACCGGTCGACTGGTGGTGTGCAATCCGGTCGACTGAACAGGTCGACCGGTGAGGCCAATGCAATCCGGTCGATCGCACAGGTCGACCGGTGAAGAACACCAGTGCGAGAAAACTCACAAAATCAGTTTAAAAACCTACAAATCCAGTCCCAAAATTAAATATCTCAAGGGACAACACCTGAATCCGGGTTCTAGGTACTAAATCAAGTCCAAAGAACCCGAGATCCTAAATTTCTTCCATGTTTTTAGTCAAAATCCATCAAAATCCGTTTTGAACCAAAATGGGTTTTCTAATATCTAAAATCCAAGATTGAAGAGAGGTTTTTCAGAGATCTTACCTCAAATCCTTCTCTTGACGTTGAAAACTCTTCAAAATTCCTCTTTGGTTCGAGATCCGGTTGATTTTGAAGCAAACACGGGAGAGAGAGTGAGTATAGGAGTGAAGAGAGAGAGAGAGAGTGAGGTGGACGAAAAGGAAAATAAATGAAAGGAAAAAGAAAAGAAAAATGGACATGTGTCAAAATGTTTAAAAATCGTTTTTCATTTTTTATTTTCATTTTCTCCTCTCTCGAGCAAATAGACAAAGACATTAATGAGTTTTTTTTTATACTGAAAACAACCTCTTGATAAAACTATTAAACGCATTTTTAAAAATAATTTCTATCTAAGATTGAAAATGTTTTCATTTTTTATTTTTATATAAAAAATAAAATTATTTTAGAACGAGTTCTAGACGCGTTTATAGCAGAGAATAGATATTAACTCTCTTAACGAGAGAATAGATATAGAACTTGCTCGGCCCAAGGCTACGTGATACTGGACTTATTGTTGACTGTGTGAAACTGGACTCATCTTTTTTAAACCATTCAAATTCCATTTGTTGGTTCCCAAGATTTCTATAAGAAAAAAAAGTGATTCAATTGAATAATTTGTCCAGTCGCACCAAAAAAACAAAAAAAAAAAATCATGCTCTTCAAATTTTAGTTGTATGGAAAACTTATGCAAGACAATAGGTAAATTCCCGTTTGTCATTTGAGGTGTCTAATAATGTTGAAAAGAGTCAAGAATAATGAAACCACAATTTGGAACTTCAATTGATCTTTCAGTGACTTGTTCTCTTGCCACTTGAATGTTGCAATTCTCAAGTGCCATCAAGACTAAGCGATAATCTAATTTGTTTTTTCACAACACCAACAGTAACATTTTTTTTTTCCTGTATCAACTGCATTTATAAAAAAATGGCACTAATTTAAATGCTTATGATTACTTTTATAGAGCTTCATTTCCACAAGAAACAGATTTGTCAAAATACCAAACTAATTCCAAGAGCAAAAAAAAAAAAAAAACACATTTTTCCATTAAGTAAGCAGCTTCAGCAATGTGTTATTGTAAACATCCATTTACAACCCAAAATTGACGATGCTTTGCCTCATTTGATTTTCTTCTCTTAAAAAAAAAAAAAAAAAAAAAAAAAAAAAAAAAAAAAAAAAAAAAAAAAAAAAAAAAAAACGCGAACTCTTTAACATTCTTACAAATGCAAACCACTTTAAGTTCATACTTCATTCATAACTAGAAAACTGCGACTTCATTTTCATGTTTGAGTCTTTGACTAACCCCAAAAGCTTGCATCACTGGACCACCAAATTGCTGTGTTCTATATATCGATTTAGACGTTTTAGACGGAAAATGCAAAACCCGAACTCACTCATTTCCCCATGTGAGTTAATATCCTACTGATCAAAGCTTCCTTCTTACCGGCAACAGGAAGGTTGTGTGCCGTTAAGTAGCACTTTAACTGTGCTACTGTCAAATCCTTCAACTGCAAATGAAACAAGAAACATGACTAAAGTGGCCTTTTACAGGCTGAAATTTAACAAGGTAGCACTTTAACTGTGCTACTATCAAAACCTTCCAACTGCAACATTCAAAGTTCTTTGTGGGGTTTCTTTTCTTTTCTCAACTAAGCCTAAACTGCTTTTCTTTTGAGAGAAACTACCGTCAAAACTTCTGATATTCAGAAGAAATAATTGCCATAAAAGATACCAAATAAAGAAAAAAACACTTAAAACACATTGCTAACATGAGAATATCTATTTTGAGAATGTTCTTTAGGCCAACCATCTGTTTCACAAGATGTGATATTTCAGCGATTCCCTCCACAGAAATCTCAAGAAACCTAAATTTCCTTTGTTAAATTTTTTACCTAACCCGAATCGCTGACCATATTATGTTCGGTGCAACTGCAAGTTATAAGCACAAGTATTGAAGCAAAAACAACAAAGCAAGTGTCAAACCTTTCCATTGTCTGCAAGTTCACCCCAGTCGTGGATTGCACTCTCTTTAGCTGCAAGTTCCGCAGCTGCCTTTCTCTTTTTGGAGGCATCAACTGCCTTTCCGGGGCCATTTTCCTCCTGGTAATTCTCTCCATAGACAGAAAGCTTAAATTCTTCCAAGGATTTAACAACTCCCGGTCTGTGAACAGATGTACAACAACATCAACTTTGTACCATTTAAAAACATTATTGGCTATACATAAAAGACAACATTATTTTTCTTAATATTCTGAAGCAGTGACTTATGGTATGCAGATTCCCATTTGAGTTGATTATCGTGCAAGCATATGCAAGGCGATGCGACGATGGAAAAAGGAGAAGTAACAATGCATTTAAAGGCCCAGGTGAAATCAAAGAATCTTTCTTACCTAGACATGCCTTCCTCGTCAGGCACGGTTTCATCGTTGATATCAGGAATCTCATCTTCCTCCAGAGCCAGAGCCTGTAACACTGCATAGTGTCTCTGCAAGGCTGCGATAAAGATGGTACATGAATACTTAAGAATTTTATAATTGGTGAAAAAACTAAAAGCAGCACTGCTCAGTAAGCAACTTGGTGTTCACTTTTTCATTAGAACTCGAACCGTATCTATCAAGTTCATAAACATTCCATACAGGCAGCAAACCCAAACATAGAAAGCAAGAGAAAAGTTGACAAATACTGCAGTTAGCATTAAAGCTGTGACCTATTTATCTCTAATATGAATGAGTACAGGTATATATTTATCTAAACATGATAAATTTACAATTGTTGCACAAGAAACAACTTCAGGTATGGGGGAAGTGATTAACTGTTTCCACTTAATTACTAATGCAATTTGAGAACCTGCATGTTCAAGTCAGGGCTAAACTTTCACAACGATTTTCATTACTCCACTGATAAAAACATTAGGAACCAAAACAAAAGGAGTGATCCTAGATACCCTAGGTACTTGAGCAGAGGCTTTGGGTATCACATAACCAATCCTATTATCCATTTGGCTCAAGGACATTTCAGAATGGCCCAGTAATGCGTCGAGGTCAATAAAACTAAATGAAGTTTCGTAAGATGCATTAAGATCTCCCCTCCCATGACTTTGTTAGGAGATGACAAACATATTGGCCCTTGATTACTTCCGAACCAAAGAATTATACAAGATACACAGCAACACAACATAAACATACATAAACTATAAATTGAATGTTATCCATTTTTCTATGTCTTTGTACCAATGTGGTAACAACAACATACCAGGGTTTGCAAATTGGCACACGGAAAAATCTTTCAAGTCAATTCGTTTCATTAAAGCAGCAGCATTTTTTATTTGCTCATCAGTTGCACAAGGCGCTGTGCCATTTGAATCTGAATGAAGCTGCACCAGCCAGTGTTTGTTAGACAAGACAGTACTCATAAAACTCCAATTAAATCAGCATATATCTTACCTCTTCAATGTCTCTGATATCATCAGAATATGGAAGGTATATCATGTGCATTCCCGGTGGCTCAACCTGACCACCGGCTATGATTATTTCCTCCTGTGCATTATAAGGAAGATAAGTGAGTTTCAATACACACATAAAGCATAAGTTAACTAGGGAAGCTGGCTTTCTGTACATTGTTTTGGCCCCAATAAGATGGCGATATTGATGTAGAAGTGTGTGGTGCAAGCTACATTTTGAGTCATTTGGATGTAAAGCAATGGAAGAATTTTCAATGAGATTGAACACGATGCTACTTTTCTCTTTGAAAATGTCAAAACCTAGCAGCATCCTTATGGGTTTCGATGGATAATGCATTCAAGGAATTCCCTTTATCTATGATCATGTAAAGTTGGATTGTGTTCGAGTCACTAGTGTGTCTTGTAACTTTTCAGTTCTTTTGGCTTTTTCTATGTTCTCTTTGAGAACTTCTTGTCTTCAAAGTGTTACTTTTTTGTAATTATCTTCATTAATAAGATTTCGTTTCTTAAAATAAAGGAAAAAAGAAAAGAAGAGCAATTTCACATAACACAAAGCATCCTTAAATTTATTTGAGAAAAAAAACGAATGTCTGTTAAGATTTATTGGTGTCTCGATAAATACAGTTAGTTACATGATAGTAATTTGAATCAGTTCTTTGACAATAAGCTGAGAACCTCCAAGTAGTTTTCTCAACAGAAGTCTGAATCTAAAAAATTATGCCATGTGGGACAAAATATTAGTTATGGACACTAAACCCAAAACAACTTCACCCAACTACACACACAACCATGGAGAAGAACTGGATAATTTGTTGTTTTCTGGAAGATAAACGCAATTGCATAGATGACTTAGAAGACTTAGAAGATGCAAGAACCAATAAAACAAGAATAGTTTCTTGGGTGATATAAATTTCTATCAAGCATGAACAACCAGTCAATATGAACAAGACAAACGTGAGACAGGTTTAACTTGTCAGGCTTCTATCTTGAATGGAGCAAGACCAATTTATGCATTTGAAATTAAAGAACAAAATGAGCAAAAGAGAAACATCTAATTGCAGTTTTTTCTTTTTTTTATTTCCCTATTATTATTGCTTGATGCTGATAATAGACAAATGGTTTGACAGGAAAATTTATTAGATAATAAATCATATAACTCCACCATAACTATGTCATTCTCACCATTTTATTCAATTATTTTTGCATCACTATGGAAGTTTGGAACATGCCATTAAAATCTTACTTGTGCTACAAGGGCAACCAGTTGTGGACGAGATGAACTGCCATAAAATGCAACTCCAAACCTAAAAGAATAAAAGAAAAAAGGGGGAGGGGGCAAGAAAGGAAAACGACTAAATCATGAAATGGTTCATTAGCATCATAACATACACCCATGGGCAAGACAATAATTTCATGTGCAATTCAAACAGGTGCAAATAATTTTTTTTTCCCACTGCAAAATGCATCATTGAATAAAAATTTTCCACTTTTTCTTTTGGTGTTGCTCAAAGACCAATGAGACATTTCATGTCTCAATAACTATCCTTTCAGTGGGACTAGAATATAGGATGTCTGCCTTTACGGCTCACGGTAGAGTAGTGCCTTGCAAATAGGGTATACAATTTTTGGCAAAAAATGAAAGCATATTAGCAGCTAACCTTAAACTGTATTAGAAGTACTAACCGTTTAAGCCGCAACATGGACCTATGCACTGCAATAAAAAGGCGTGTGCTACCAATTATATCCTGCAGTCAAGAATAAGGCCATGAATCAGCTAGCATGAACTATGAACAAAAGTTGTTGAAAATGTATTAACTTCTTTCTCGTCCCTTCAAATCACAAATTCCGACAGAGAAATATGTAATGTTACACTCGACCAATCACAGAAAGCCTAGATGCGATATTTTCATTATTCAGTTTTACCTTCTCAGTGTTTCCATTAACCCATCTCAACACCTTTAATATAAAGCGCAATTTAACTAATAGTTTTCCTACACTTTATTTCTTGACCTTGTCTGTTATGGATGCAACTTAGGTATAGCAAGTATTCATATTTTTCTCGTGAATTAACATTTAATTTCCTTTACCACTCGGCACAAATACATGTCTTTTATTTTCTTTTAAGTACACAACTTCAATAAATCAAATGAATCATGAAGTATTCTTAGGGGATAAAGAAAAAGGAGTCATTTTTTTCATAGGAAAAAAGAATTTATTGATAAAATCAAATATGTAGAATACAAGAGAAAAGAGGATAAGGTATCCTCTTCCTAGAACACTAGAGAAACAAAAACGTAGTTAAAACCAAACATGATTCCAAATTAGAAGCCAATCACATCTTTCCAATTCAAAACAAGCAAAGTAAAAGGAAAACCCTTAAAGGTTTTGTCAGAAGATGCCCGAAGGGATCCTGTGAACTTTGCTTTCTCATAAATATTAGTTTACCAATCCATCCCAAAAACTTAAGCTGTTAGGAGGTGGACCAACAATAATTTTATACTTTAACACTCCCCCTCACATGTGGGCTGGACAATGGGCAATTGTGTAGGTAAATTAATTAAAAAGCCCAACACATGAATATTTAGGTCCAAGATATGTTAAAGACCCAACACATGATGACAATTTAAATAGGGATAAAAAGTGCAATTACGGGGATTTGAACTCAAGACCTCCCACTCTGATACCATGTAAGTTTACATATCCATCCCAAAAGCTTAAGCTTTTAAGAGGTGGGCTAATAATAGTTTTATACTTTAACAATAAAGATCATTGATATCCATTCCTTTCTAACCAAATTGCCCAGCACAGATACCTGACATTGCCCTCGACATCTTCCAAGTCCTTTTATTCCTTTCTAACCAAATTGCCCAGCACAATCCCAAAAAAACAATATTCAAAATCTTTCTCCCACTCTTACTGAAACCAAGGAGATAAGAGGAGACAAACGGACCCACATATTTCAAAGAAGCCTCCTAACTCAGCCCAAACTTTTGCAAAATCCTCAATTTGTACTACTTCTAACCAAATTTCAAACTATTGTTTCTATCACCATACGGCTCTTTTCCAAAATTCCAATTTAAAGTTCTATTAATCAATCAGAAAGACCCCTTTCTGTTTCTCCTTATATAATTAGAATATACTAATCTCACTTGCAACTTATTTATTCCTGTTTCCAATGCCCCTTCACGGGATACTTGAAGCCAAAGAAAGTCTCTATTGTTAAAGGTTAAAGAAAGTTTATAAGATTCCTTAAGCAACGAAAACAGTAACTCTCACCTCATCACTTGGAAAAAGAAATGTTGATGGCCGTAAGTTGTGATAATCCTTCAAGCAACTTAATGGCTTGAATCCAAGCAAACGAAGATTTCCAGTCGAAATTCTTTTTATTTCCGATAGTTCATCCACTGAAAGCTTGATAGTTTCACTGAAAAGTAGATGTAATAGTGAAATGAGATTTTACTAAATAGTAAGATGCACAAACTGAGAATGAAAGTACACAATTCAAGAAAGGATGGAGGACCACACAAGAGAAGTAACAGTAAAATACATGCAACTGGAATACGTGAATTGAACTTAAAAAAGTTCAACTTAAATAGTTAATCTCAGCAATGATCCCCGAACTTCAAATGCAGGATAAATAATTCGTAATTACTTGTTCTTATTGTACATATTTTTCATACCAACTATTGTCATAAAGAACCGTGTCAACAGGAAAAAAGTTTTAGTAATTGACACCAAGAAAAAAAGGCATAATTTAAATAAAAAAATACTAAATACAAAATTCTGAGACTCAACCCAGATACTCTAATTAATATACTCCTAGTTTTCTTGTTAAGTGTAAAAAAAAAAAAAAAAAAAAAAAAAAAAAAAAAAAAAAAAAACCAATTATAAGAAAAACATTAGAGTAAAACATTTGATAATCTGTTACAAATACGAGAAGTTTTCCATTATTCTTTGATCAAATAGTACAAAGGCAGTAAGGATTTAGCTAATAAATGACTGGTTAACAGAAACACTATAAGACGATTACTTTTTGTAAATCTGAATGCGTTTGGTAGACTCCTGCAGCAATGCACCAGTATCCGCACAGAAGAAAGATCTTTCAGCCTGCACAAAATCAACTTAGACAACTTCAGTACTGCCCATTCAAATAATAAGATTAGTACAACAATCCAGATTAGAGTCATTCCACTAAGCAGGTAAATTCCTTTTAGAGTGAATATTTCATGAATCAGAAGAACATAGGTAGGAGAAGGGCATTGCACGAATCGATATTCTTACAGAGTGTGTCATTTACCAACATAAAGCTCAGGGAGAATAGGTGGATGTGAAACTTTACTTGTTCCTTAATTAACAAAGAAAAAGTTATTTGAATTATTTTGACTAAATGAGGACAGTGCCTCTGCAGGAAAACAACAAAATAAAAACACACAACTCAAAGCACGTTTATAAAAAATTAAAAAAAAAATTAAAAAAAATTAAAAAAAACACCCACAAAGAAGCCCAAAACGTGATTCTATCCCAAAGGATTTCATCTTCGACCCTTCAAAATAGATTGTTCATAAAAAAAGGCAAGAAGCTGCATAGGTAGTAAAGCCTCCTTTTTTTTTCTTTTTTAATAAGTTATAAGAAAGAGATATTTATTGAAATGAAAAGTAATCAAAATATACAACCAAAGGACAAAGCGTCCTTGCAAACAGCGCAAAAAATAAAAGGGAAAACTGGTGGTCAAATGAGCAGCAGACCAAAAACGATAAAAAAATAGAAGCTAAACAAACACATCTAAGCCTAGTTTACTTCTGCCAATTCATCTCAAATTAGTTCTTGCCTTCTTGTCACCTTGCAGTAATAAATGTGTAATTGCATTTAATCAAGGTGTCGGCAAATCAGGATTGTGAAGTTAGGATTCGATATTTGAATAAACTAGGAAAGAATCAAAGAATAGAATAAAATCCCTGATTATGTGGGATCCTAGGGTTTAACGTGTATTCTCCTTTTCTATTTAAGTGTGTTCTATTCTCTGAAATTAAAAAGAAAAAACTGAGAGCTATTCTCTCTTTCTGTCCCTGATATTTTCCTATATGGTATTAGAGCCTAGGGCTCAATTATGAATTTTAAAGCCGCCATGGTTGGGTCTAGTTCAGCCACTTCAGAAGACACCAGTGGTATGGCTTCATCGGGGACAATTTCACAGTCAAATTCGATAGTTTCCTTCTCTGAAAATTCCCTTCAAATTACCGTTCACAAATTGAATGGAATGAATTACCTTGAGTGGTCTCAATCCGTGCGACTGGTGATCGACGGCAAAGGGAAATATGGGCATTTTCCTATATGGTATCAGAGCCTAGGGCTCGATTATGAATTTTAAAGCCGCCATGGTTGGGTCTAGTTCAGCCACTTCAGATGCCACTAGTGGTATGGCTTCATCGGGGACAATTTCACAGTCAAATTCGATAGTTTCCTTCTCTGAAAATTCCCTTCAAATTACCGTTCACAAATTGAATGGAAAGAATTACCTTGAGTGGTCTCAATCCGTGCGACTGGTGATCGACGGCAAAGGGAAATATGGGCATTTGAATGGAGAAGTAAAACCTCCAGCCACCAGTGATCCAAAATACAGGCAATGGCGCTCAGAAAACTCCATGGTGACTGCCTGGTTGATCAACTCGATGGATCCGGTTGTTGGAAAGGCCTTCATGTTCTTGCCCACAGCTCATGACGTTTGGGAGGCAGTCCAGGAAACGTATTCCGATCTAGACAACCACTCACAATTGTTCGAGTTGAACACTCGGATGTTGAAGATGCAGTAAGGTGACCGTGAGGTAAGGACCTACTTTAATGATATGATGACAGTATGGCAGGAATTGGATATGTTCGAAGATGAACAATGGGAAAACTCTAATGATAGTGCTCGGTACAAAAAGAAGGTTGAGAGAGGCCGGGTAATTGTGTTCTTGGCTGGTTTGAATAAAGATCTTGATGAGGTTCGAGGACGTATATTAGGAAAAAGACCCCTGCCAACAATAAGAGAGGTATTTGCAGAGGTACGTAGAGAGGAAGCACGGCGACATATGATGTTGAAAAACATTGATGAACCAAATATAGATGGTGAGGGATCTGCCCTTGTATTCCGAGGCACAGAGCCAGAAGGAAATAGGCGTGGAGGTAAACAGAGGCCCTGGTGTGACCATTGCAGGAAAGCATGGCATACTCGGGAAAACTGTTGGAAACTACACGGGAAACCAGCAAACCTGAAGAAAAGACCCGGCAGTGACACCAGGTCAGGGGGAGAGTTCCGCGCATTCCAAGCAAGCCACACGGATCCAGAGCAGGAATCTCCATCAACATCCCTTCCTTTTACAAAGGAACAGATAGAGCACCTACAAAAAATGTTTCAGTCCCAATCTTTAGGAAACTCTAACTCCTCTTGTTCTCTAGCACAGTCAGGTAATTTTTTCACTGCAGCCGCTACCTATACCAAATCAGATGGCTCCTGGATATTAAATTCAGGTGCTACCGATCATATGACCGGCAATTCGCAATTTTTCTCTTCATATACACCTTGTACAGGGAATCAAAGAGTTAAAATTGCAGATGGCTCCTTTGCTACGGTTGCTGGGAAAGGAATAGTTATCATTTCCCCTTCTCTAATTCTAAAAAATGTCCTGCATGTTCCTCGTTTGTCCTATAACCTCTTGTCTATCAGTAAGTTGACACATGATCATAACTGCCAAGTTAATTTTTCGTCTTCTCGTTGTGAATTTTAGGATTTAACCTCGGGGAAGATGATTGGGGGTGCTAGACTAGATAGTGGTCTCTACCTCTTCAATAATGGATCAACCTTTGGAAGACAAGATCAACAGGCCTGTTTCAATTCTATTTCTATTTCTAGTGACAGTAAGATTATGTTATGGCATTATCGATTAGGACATCCAAGTTTCAATATTTAAAGCATTTGTTACCCAAGTTATTCATGAATAAAAATCCTTCTACGTTTCGATGTGAATCTTGTGAATTAGCAAAGCATCATCGTGCCGTTTTTCCATCACAACCATATAAAAAATCGAAACCATTTACCATGATTTATAGTGATATTTGGGGTCCTTCTCGAGTGTCAACTTTTTCTGGAAAACACGCTGGTTATTACTTTCATTGATGACCATACTAGAGTCACTTGGGTCTTCCTTTTAAAAGAAAAATCCGATGCTGAAACAGTGTTTAAAAATTTCCATAATATGGTTCAAACACAATTTCAGACTCAGATTAAAATTTTCCGAAGTGATAACGGCAAAGAATTTTTTAATAATGTGTTGGGGAATTTTTTTGCTGAAAAAGGGATTGTACATCAAAGTTCTTGTACCAATACACCTCAACAAAACGGGGTGGCTGAGAGAAAAAACAGACATCTTCTTGAAGTTGTTAGAGCTATAAGTTTTAAAGCTAAAG